TGGCCGACCTCACCGGATGGTCGTAGATGCAAGGCTGGGGGTTCCCCGTTGAGTTCCTTTGAACGTCCTGCGGTTTAGGGTTCAGGGTTTAGGGTTTGGGGTTTAGGGTTTGGGGTTGAGGGTGCTCTAAGAGCACTAGGGTATTCTTGTACGAGGGTTTTGGGGGTTGGGTTTAGGGAGGAAGCGTTTTTTGACGTTAAGGGTGCCTTTATTGGTTCTACTTGGAGGATCATGGGACTTAGTAACTAGGGTTAGAATTAAGGTAACTGTACTTCTAATCGCATATAACCCCACTTAGGGTACTTATAACCATACTTACTAGGTCCCACGATCCTCCAAGTACAGGGCCTTCCCCATGAACCAGCTCTAAGGGCTACTGCTGAGTAAGATTTTGAGTTCATTCCTTTTGTCAGGATTTTGGAGGGTTAGATGCAGTCTATAACATGGTATAAAAAAGGGGGCCTTAACAAATACAGAGTTTGAGGATATACTGCACAATAATCCTAGCATTTTTTGATTCACCGGTGGTGAAGCTTTAGACCCGACTGTATTCGTAGGTGCAGGTCGCCGGTGACCCCCGAGCCCAATCTGTCGTTTTGTGGCCTCCACTATGGAACACCCTACAGACCGAACGCCCGAACCCTTGTCCCCAAACCCCTGATTAAGCCCCAAAGCGAGACCCCTGGACCCAAATGCCCCTACGATGGCCAGGCCTGACAATCTTAAGTCTAGCGAAACTTTCTGAAAACAAATACCAAGACTTACACACACACACACACACACACACACACACACAAGCACGAATACACGCATACACACACGTGCGCACATACACTCATGCGCACATACACACGTACACATGCACACGTACACGCATACACGCATACACGCATACAAGCATACACGCATACACGCATACACGCATACGCGCATACACATGCACACATCTCTATCTCTCTCTCTCTCTCTGTCTCTGTGACGGTTCGCGACCGAGCCGAGCATGCAGCACAAAGGTTGTGCCGCATCTGTCTCTAGGAGTAACCTGCGGCCCCACCGCAGGATACGATGTGGGAACGGTTGAAGGCAGCGTGTAACCTCATGCCCCCCGATGCCTAGGAGATTAGAGAAAGGCATAAAGTATGTGGCAGTATGCGCAATGCAGAATTCTAAACCCCAACCCCTGACCTCTAAGACCCTCAACCAAGGAACTTCAAGCCCTACTTGAAGGCTCATGGGACTTAGTAAGTAAGGTTATAAGTGGGTTATAGTTAGGATAACCCCACTTAGGGGACTTATATAACCCCAATTACAACCTACTTACTAAGTCCCATGATCCTCTAAGTAGGCCCTAAACCCTAAACCCTATAGATCCCATTATAAGGAACCCTTATAGATCCCGTTATGAGGAACCCTAAGTCCCATGAGCCTCTCAGTCGACTCCCGAAAGAAGACATCCGCGGAGGTCCGGAGTTCTGGGGCGGCCGCGTGTTGTACAGATCGACGTACTGGTGCTTAAAGGGGAGTGGGAGAGTGCATCCCTATAATGGTCCTGGGTTCCTTTAAGGGTTCCTTTAAGGGACCATAGAGGTTAGGGTTTAGAGTTTGAGGGGTTTCTTAGGGGTACTTAGAAAGATTTTTTAAATTTTTGGTTATTATAATCCCTAAGAAACAGCTAAAATGAATATAATTCTTGCTAGGGTTCTAAGTTCAGTATGGTAATGGTCCTTATAAGGTTTAGGGCTTAGGGATATAAATCCCTTCCAGTAGTCCCTATAGGTTTTAGGCTTTAGGGATAAGGAATCCCGTGGTGTAGTCCCTATACTCCCTCCTCTATTCTCCCTTACTGCCTAAACCTTAAACCCTTAAAGCCTAAACCCTAAACCGCTAAACCCTACATCCCTAAACCCTAAGCTCTAAACCCTAAGCCCCTAAACCCTAAGCCCCTAAACCTTCCCATGAAGCTCCAGTACTGTATATATAAGGAACCCTATAGATCCCTTTTAAGGAAGCCCTAATCCTAAACCCATGAACCCAGTTCCTGAACCGTCGAAATGCCTTTGGGGCCTGGGCTTGGTCTGAGGGCCCGGGGCTTCGGACCCCAAGGCATCCCCCGAACTTGAACCCTGAGTCTTTAAAAGGGGATCTACAAGGTTTAGGGTTTAGGGGTTTAGGGGTTTAGGGTTCAGGGTTTAGGGGTTTAGGGGTTTAGGGGTTTAGGGTTTAGGCTTTAAGAGTTTAGGGTTTAGGGTTTGGGAGTCTTTACTTTAACCCACCAATCCCAACTGGGAGTTTCCGAAAATAGGGGACCCTAATACAGTACCCTAAATAGTAGGATCCTTATTATAAGGACCCCAAAATAAGGTACCGCTAATTTCGGAAACTCTAAACCCTAAACCCTTTATAGAACTCCTATAGATCCCTTTAAGGAGCCCTTTATAGTAACCCTTTAAAGGAACCCCCGATTTTGGGAAAGTCCCAACTTGAGGTTCCTCTAGTTCCTTCATAAGGGCCCATAGAGGCTCCTTCAAGGGGTTCCTTCGAGGGTTAGGGTTTAGGGTTTAGGGTTAGGGTTTAGGGTTTAGGGTTTAGGGTTCCTTTGAGGGTTCCTTTAAAGGGTTCCTTTAAAGGGTTCCTTTTAAGGGGTCCTTTAAGAAGTACTATAGGGCTCTACAGATAGGGCTCCGATTCAAGGTACTCTAGGGTATAGAGTGTAGGATTCAGAATTTAGAGCTTAGCTTAGGGTTTCCTTCTATACGGGCCGAGTTTACTGTTTAGGCTTGTTTTCAAGGGCTAAACCCTAATCCTACACCCGAAACCCGAAGTCTCAAAACCCAAAACCACACGTAACCACAACCCTAAACCTAGGCCTTAAATGTCTATAGATTTTTTATAGATACCCAAAACAGCCAGAGATATAGATTGCGAAATCCTGAGAGAACCATAAAGGGCTTCCCCATGTTTTGTATTGAAAAAGTGGCGTCCTCGTAGTAATTTGTACATGTCCTCGTAATGTCCTCGTAGCGTCCTCGTAGCAGGCGTGGGATTTCGTGACTGGGACAGTGGACAACTCTGTACACCTAGGACCTGGAGTAGGCCCTTATTCCCTTTTTGTAGGGTTCAGGTTCCCTTATAAGCCCCTTTAAACCAAAAAGGGCACCCTTTTTATTCCCAGGTTACTCTTGGGTCTAGACACGGACCCCGACAGGTTTGAAAGCTTCAGAACCAGTAGTCCTATCATGCACCCCCGGAGGGGCCCCGACATCCGAAACCCGGTTTGGGTTTAGGTTTAGGGTTTAGGGTTTTAGGGTTTAGGGTTTAGGGTTTTACGGTTTGGGGGTTTAGGGTTTAGGGTTTTAGGGTTGTAGGGTTTAGGGTTTAAGGTTTAGGGTTTAGGTTGAGGAAGCAATCCTTGTAGAAAGCTATGCGCACCTCTCAAGCAACCCTGATGCACCACTTGTGGAACCCCTACAGAACGCGAGCAGCCGTCATAAGAAGAGCCCGACTGGACAACTCTACCGTGAGCCCTGAGCCCTAAACCCCGAACCCTACTTGGAGGATCATGGGACTTAGTAAGTATGGTCATGAGTACTTCAAGTGGGGTTACAAGTCAGTATAGATATAGTTACCTTAGTTATAACCTTAGTTACTAAGTCCCATGATCTTTTAAGTAAACCTTAAGCCGGCACCCCACGCCCTGAAGGCTGTGTCTGGTAGGACATGTACAGTGTACAGACTGCGCCACTCAAAACGACGCCGCCGAGAAATTGGAGGGATCTGGGATCAGGGTTTTGGGGTTCAAGTTTTAGGTTTTTGGGGTAAGTTGTGCGTTCTAGGGTCTTTGGGTAAGAGGACTTTCGGGTGTGCTAAACCGTCAGTTTGGGCGACAGAGTTTAAAGTTTCGGTATCAAGGTTGGGCTCGTTTCAGGGGCTCCTATACGGTTCGACAGAGGCTCCTAGAACCTAAGACCCTAAAACCTAAATGCTTCTATGACTGGGTTCTTGTTAAGGGACTTAGTTTAAGCTACCATAATACGGAAACCATTATTATTTGCTATAGATCCCTATGATGGTAACTTAAATTAAATCCCCTGAAAAGAAACAGATAAGGGCTGTCATGCGGGATTAGGGGGCCTCCCAAAAAGATTTCAAGACGGATCTTTGCGGCTTTTGGATGGCTGTGATGATGATTTGTTGTTGCCAGCAAGTTCTGGCAAGAAGGATTTTTGGGGGTACTTTGGGTCCTGAAGTCCTACTTGGAGGATCATGAGATTTAGTAACTAGGGTTATACTGAAGGTAACTATAATTAAAGTTACTTGTAAGCCCACTTAAAGTATTTGAAATCATGCTTGCTGAGTCCCATGATCTTCCAAGTAAACCCTACACCCTAAATTTAGCCCCCAAACCCCTAAACCGCTTAGCCCCCAAGCCCTAAACCGCTAAACCCCTAAGCCACAAAGCCCTAAACCCCTGAGGCCTAAACCCCTAAGCCCTGAACCCTAAACCCTAAACCTCTAAGCCCCTGGGCCTTAAACCCCTAAACCCTGAGCCCCTAAGCTCTAAACCCCTGAAGCCCTGAAGCCCGAAACCTCCTAAGCTCCTGAAGCTGTTAAAGCACCCGAAACCCTACAGATCCCTTTCTCGGGCTTAGGGTTTGGGGTTTGGGGTTTAGGGTTTGGGGTTTGGGGTTTAGGGTTTGGGGTTTAGGGTTTAGGGTTTAGGGTAGGGTTGATAAAGGAGCCAGTCTAGTTCCCTGAATGACATCCTTGTTGTTCTTATAAATTTATAAAGGAACCCTTCTACATCCCTTAACGGAACCAGTCTAGTTAGTTCCTTTAATGACATCCTTGTCGTTCCTTTAAAGGAACCCTTATGCGTCTTTTAAAAACAAACCAGTCTAGTTCCTGTAATGACATCCTTGTTGTTCCTTTAAAGGAGCCCTTATAGATCCTTTAAAGGAGCCCTAACACCCCCAAAAGCCCTTAAACCACCCAAAGTGGAGGCCGGCGGGGGCGGCCGGTGACGGTTCTGGAGAAGAACCGGGAGCTCGGCAAGAAAATCCGGACCTTCGCCCGCCCCAAAAGAACGGGATTTAGGATTTAGGATCTCGTGTTCAGGGTTATTGAAAAAGAGAGTCATGCGGGAGTGGAGTCTAGGAGTTTGGGGGTTTCAGAGTTCAGGGTTTTGGGTTTGGGTTTAGGGTTTGCAGGTTTCAGAGTTTAGGGTTTAGGGTTCCTGACCTGTTTTTGGTGCTTATAAGGTCTTTATGAAGATACGATACCCTCAGAATTCAGCGCGGTCTTCATTGGCTTTGGGGCTTACGTAGAGTTTCTCAAAGGATGTGGCCAATCTCCTTGAAGGGCTTAGGGGCTTGGAGTTTCTTGGTGAAGTTAGTAAGCAGATGTGAATCTGCACTACTTGCTGGGTTGTGGCTGTCGATGGCTGCAATTCCTTGACGGCAGTAGTAATCCCATATCCTAGTTGAGTTGGACCAAGCGTATGGGAATGTACCTGAAACCCGAAACCCCCTCTCCTCTCCCCTAAACCTCAACCGCAAACCCCAACAAAAACCTCTTCTAAAACCCAACACCGCAAACCCAATAAGCAAGAATTAGCAGTATAAGGGGTTCGATAAGGGCTTCATCAGAGTTCTCCTTTCTGACTTCTGGAAGGGCTTTATTTATGTGGCTTTTCTGGTAGGAGTGCGACGTGCTATTCCTTGAGGGTTCCCTGGTATGTAATCTGAGCAAAATACAGAAATCCGAAGCCCTACTTAGAGGATCATGGGACTTAGTAGGTGGGTTATAATTGGGGTTATAGGTCCCCTAAGTGGGGTTATCCTTATTATAACCGACTTATAATCTTACTTACTAAGTCCCATGAGCCTTTAAGAAGTTCTTCAGGATCCTGTATTGAGGGCCTCAGCATCAGCTTGCCCCAAGCCTTGAAAGCCCTCAATTAGAAGCTGCCCCCACCCTGTAATAGTGGTATAATAGGAGTATAATAGGGCCCTAATATAATCCTATATAACCCTTATAGTCACTATTACAGGGTGGGGGCAGCTTCTACTCCCTCAACATCTTTTTCGCCAACGCTGAAGGCTTTAGACCATGAGAAGCACACCTTCATCCTCAAAACTTCGCAAAGTTCAGGATCAGATTTCAGATAAAGCATGCGCATGCTATAAGGATCTGTAAACCAAACAAGCCTTACACCCAAAAGGCTGCATTCATGGTTAACTACGGTTGATGATATGAATCCTGCATTACCCATAATAAGGAATATACCATTATTCCCATAGTTTAGGGTCCTTAAGGTAAAGCAGGATTTATATCATCAACCTTACAGATCCAGGCGGTTTTTGAACCATAAGTGGCAGCATTGCGGGCCTGTCGTGTGTTCAAAGGCCATGTAGGGGCTTGTAAGGGTACTTATAAGGTTGTAGGTTTTTTGGCTAAAGGCTTGGGTTTTAAAATCGCGGATTTGGGTTAGCAATATAGATGGGAGCTTGACCTTAGCCCTCAAACAGAAACGGTTTAGGGTTTAGGACCGAAAAGTTCCATGAAGTCCTTGCGCAAAACCACAAAGCGATTTTTCGGAGCCCTTCAAGACCGTTTTCAAAGCCGTGGCGCTCTTAAGACACGGCCTTCCTCGGAAGACCCTCTCTAGGGTTTAGGGCTTAGGGTGAGGACCCTAATCCCTGAATCCTGAACCCGAAAATGAAGTCGAAGCCATAAGCCCTAATTCACACCCTAAGCCCGTAAACCTCCCAAACGTTAAATAAACACCTATCGCAACCTTTATGGAGCCCTGTTGAAGGAGCACTCATTGTCGAAAAATTAATGTCCCTAAGCAGGATCAGCGGAGGTGGCCGCTGCAACTTTACAAACATCTCGGCCCGGTCCTCTTTAGGGGCGTTTTGGGGTTTTGGGGTGCAAGGTGTCGGGTTTAACGATTAGAGCTGGGTATATTCTACTATATTTGTAATAAAGGGCACCCAATAGTTTAGGTAATGATGAGGGCCATTATAACCTATAGCAGAAGCCAGCAAGTTGGAATATCATTATCCTGATTCCTTTACGGTAAAGTTTTGGAAGTCTCAGCACGAATCGTCCTAAATCCATGTTCAAGCTTTCTGGGGCTCACTTTATTTTGGGTCTTGGGGTTTGAGTTTTTTAGGGTTTGGAGTTTGAGATCGGGGGCTCTTCTGAAGGGATCTGGGGATGCAATCGGTAGGGTTTAGGGTGTAGGGTTTTAGAGTGTTAGGTTTAGGGTGTAGGGTTTAGGGTGTAGGGTTCAGGGTTTACGGTGCAGGGTTTAGGAATGTAGGATTTAAAGTTGTTAGAGTTCAGGGTGTAGGTCGTAAGTACAGCTGCAGATGCCCTAAGCGCGATGGTTGCATTCGTGGCCTTACCGACCTACGCGCTACGTCCCCTGATCTCTGACTGTAAGAGGCTGGTACACCTGTAGTGGGGTTCCGTGTTTAATTAAGGTGTAGGTTCAGGATACAGGCTTTAGAGTTTAGAGTTTAGGTTTCAGGGTTTCGGGTCTCGTTTCAGGGCTCAGGCGGTCATACCCGATGGAGGCCTGTTGCACCCCCCCCTCACACCCCCCGCCCCATGGTATCCTCCCCCTTGCCCGTCAAGTGGGTAGTCTGCTTGCTCGGCCTTTTTGCTTTCCCCGTCTTCCTGGGTGGTTGTTTGGCCTTGTCTCCTCCCCCCCTGTGAGGTGGGGCCTGTTGTCTTTTTGGTTGGCATGGTTGCAGTTGCTTGTCAGTAGGAATATCATCGTTGCGTGCTCGTTACCATACTAGAAAATGTGATGTTGCCCGGAATATCATCGTTGCGTGCTCATTACCATACTAGAAAATGTGATGTTGCCCAATGCTGTCGTTTTCTCCTTGCTAACGGTGCCCCTGTCCCTGCTCTGATGCGGTTTCCCACTCACTCTGTGAAGAAGCACTGGCTGGGATCATTCTCCATCCTCCTCCCTCCCTCTGGTTTGCGTGGGTTCGCTACGGTTGCGCGGGAAGGCTGGCAAAGGCCGGGGGGCGGCGCGGTGATCCAAAACCTGGGGGCGGGGGGCATGCTATGGGCGGGCGGGTGGGGGGGGGCGGGGGGGGGGGGGGGGGGGGGGGGGGGCGGGGTGTAGCAGCCGGGACCCGAGAATTACAAAGCATCCCACTTCTCTGGCATGGGGTCGTGGCGGGACATCTGGCGTTGTAGAGCTTGCATGGAGATGTATCGCAAAGCACTGCCTCAACCTCGGGTCGTCATATTAGGCAATGCATACTGCGCGGTTTAGGGTTCACGGTCTGAACATTCCGACATATCATATGCTAAGTCATACATCCAACACCCTCCCCACAAATCCACACCCTTGAACCCTGATTAAGAAACCTTGGCCCTATAGCCCCAATATATTTTAAGCGGGATGTCCTTGCTAGCTTTTCGGACTTCATTGGCCGCTAAACCCGAAACTGCTTTTCTGGTCTTACGGGGTAGTTTAGAGTTTTCGCTGTTTTTGGTCTTAGGGATTGGGTCTTGTTCGGATTTGGAGCTTCAGGGTTACAGGCCTAATTAGGAGGTTTTGGGATTCGAGAGTTTTGGGGTTTGAGATGGTTTGGGCTTTAAGGAGTTAGCGCTTTAGGAATGGTTTTCGGAAATATAGGATTCAGCGTTGAATGTCCAGGGCTTGGAGTCTGAATGCAGATTTGGTACAACCCTTAATACCTGTATAGCACCCCTGTCAAATCCTTACCGGAAACCTATGAAGACTGAGTTTTCTCAGAAACTATATCTCACATTTGTCGATGGAACCAATACGTACACATGATCCGCGATCTAGGCCCAAGAACACAATCGAGAGATGTCCAAAACCTTCTAAAGCCCTAAACCATAATTAAAGCCTAAGCTCTAAACTCTAAACCGCTTCGAGGATGCCCTCCGCCATGCCTACCACTCCTCCACGCCGTCTTCCTCCAGCCGAGCGCCGGCAGAGGCGCCGCTGCCGATTTTGGGTTGCGGGTTTAGTCTTGCTGGGTTGCATCTGGGGAGCCTTCGAGAAGTGTGGCTTTTATTGTCACTAGGACTAAAATTTCGCAATTTCATTATCGTCATTTTGTGGATTTGAGGGATCTCGAAGTTAGCGCAGATGTCAGCTGTGGGGCGTAGGTCCAAGCCGTCGCAGCCCCAAGAGCGTAGTTTAGGGTTTAGGGCCCCCCCAAACTCTAGAAAACCTAAGCTCCACATCCAGGACCGATACCTTTGCAAACACCTTTCTCTGTCTGCAGTATTCCCAAGCCGTTCTGCAACGAACACACCAGAAATTTAAGTTGATCCAATGTTCGGGCTTGAGGGCATAAACCCGAACTGGCAAACCCCTCAAACCAGGCAACAACCGTAGTCCCTTGCAGATCTCTGGTGCACCAGCCAAACGAACCCTTAAAGGGACCCTTTACAGAACCCAACAAATCCCTATACACGCCTAGAAAATCCGACCAAACCCCGAAACACCTTCCCAAAAAACGAAAAGCTTTTCAAACTGAGGATGCGGAGACCGGGACTCCTGGCAACTTCTTCCAAAAGGCCACAGCCTCGTTCTTGAGTGGGTTTAGGGTTTCTAGGGTTTGGGATTTAGAGTTTAGTGGTTTAGGGGCTTAGGTCAGTGTTTGGGGTCTGAGTCTGAGGTTTGGGGTTTAGGGGTTTCGGATTCGGGGCCTAAATCCTAAACCCCTAAACCCTAAGGAACCTACCTTTTTAGGGTTCCCTAATATGATTTCTTTATATAAGTCCTTAAAAAGGTAGGTTACGTGGGGTTAAGGTAAACCCTAACCCTCAAACTTAGACCCCAAACCCTGTTTTAGGGTTTGAGGGCCACCAACGAGCAGCCATGCGGCTCAACTGTCTTCCGGTGCAACCGATGCCATGGCCTCCCCGGACAAGGAACTTTGGCACGAATGTAGGGGCCGCAACAATTTGGGAGTTTTCGAACATAGGGAAGCCCGATTATGCCATCCTAAATAGTAGGATCCCTATTATAAGGACCCCAAAACAAGGTACCCCTGATTTTCGGAAACTCCCATTTTAATAGGGATTGGACATATAAGAGTATAGCAGTAATGAGGAGTCTGAATAACTAGGAAACCAGTTCTTGTTGATCTTGTTGGCCGTATCATGCATATGCAGATTCTGTAATGGCAAATTGGGTTTGGGTTTAAGGTTCAGGGTCTTGGGGCCAGAGAAGATTAAGTTTTCTGAACACATGACTGAATCTTGAGGCGGGAAAAGCCCTGCAATCAGATACCTAATTGGAGCCGAATGCCGGGTTTGAGCCTAATTGGAGCCGAATGCCGGGTTTGAGCCTTGCACAGGCTGATGAGGTGGGGTGATGTGTGCTTCAGGTTTCGAGTTAGTGCAACTTCTGAGTGATTTACTATAATTACCTATACTATTTTGGTGTTATAGTAAAATTATAGTATATTTGGCCCCCAAACCCTTGTCTAATTATCAAGGGCCCTATGTTAGACGGACCCCAGACCACTCGACAGCAACACAAATCACAAGTCAATCCGAAAAGGCCAATTCAACTGAACGGATCCTTAGGTTTAGGGTTTAGGGGTTAGGGGTTTAGTGTCCAACTTCTAAACTTCAAAAGTCCAACCCTGACCCTACTTGGAGGATCATGGGACTTAGTAAGCAAGGTTCTAAGCACCCTAAGTGGGCATATAAGTAGTTATAAGTACGGTTACTTTAACTATAACCCTAGTTACTAAGTCCCATGATCCTTTAAGTATACCCCAATTCCTGAACCCTAAACCACTATCGAGAAGAGGACGGCGAGTGGCAAAGCCAGGGGTAGCTCGGCAGCATTTTGATCCAAGCCGGGGACGGGAATCCGTGACCCTAAGTCCTAAAACCCAAACCCTACACCCTGAGCCCTACACCCTAGTGGAGTGCCCGTGATGCGGTACGTGGTATAAACAATCCAATCACCAGGCCTTGGGCGATCGAGAACTCTTGCGGGTTTAGTGCATGAGGTTTGGAGCTTAGGGTTTAGGGTTTAGGGTCTCGGTTTAAGGTGAAAGATTCAGGAGCTTGGCGATTAAGCTTTCTGGCTTCGGGCTTGTGACTATGTCTTTGAACGCATTCGTTCTTCACGCATCATTGCAGGGATAACGGCGACAGAGTTTGGACAGAGCTGGCTGGTAATCCTAAGTTCCCAGTCCAAAGCCTCAAGTCCAGAATCCTATGCCTCTTGGGGCTTATGGTGTATAACCCTAAACCCTAAACCCTTATAGGGACCATGGATTAGAGCTTGAGGGTTTAGGAATTAGGGTTTCGATATCCAAGGGTTTGCTGCCTGTCGCTCTAGGCTTGTGTTTGACTCCCGTCAACGCCAACTATGAGAGTTTCCAAACATAGGGGTACCTTCGGGTTCCGTTTGAGGGTTACTATAAAGGGTACTATAAGGGTCCCTTTACAGGGCTCTATAAAGGTTTAGAGTTTCCGAACATAGGGATACTTATCCTTGTTTTGGGGTCCTTATAGGAAGGATCCAGGTACTATATTACTATATTCGGGTTCCTCTATTTTCGGAAACCCTTTTATAATAGGGGCCCAGTTGTGGGCTCGTTGATCCTGTGCACTCTGTCTGGTCATAGAATTCCAGATAATGTTGTCCTAGGGTTTAGGGTTTAGGAGGTTTGGGGGTTTGGGGTTTACGGTGTAGGGGTTTAGGGGTTAGGGGTTTAGGGTTTTTGGTTTAGGGGTTTGGGGTTTAGGGTTTGAAGTCTCTGGGTGCTTTGTTTCTTTTCTCACTTTCCTGTTTAGCATTTCCTGTCAACCGAGGATCGGCCTGAAAGGCGAGATGTTGGATGATCCGGAGCCATGCCTGGCGAAGCAGGAGGGCGTCGAGCAGGTCGGGGCTGGGCCCATGTACGGGGCCAAGAGGAAGAGGCTTCGCATCGCCAAGAAGAGTGAAGGCTTCCAGTCGCTCGTGGCTCTGTGGGGCGAGCAATGCATGGCATTTCAAGCCTCAGGCAAGACCTGGCTGCCCACGAAGCCGTGCTGTCCGGCCAACCCGTTTCTGGGATTAGAAGCAACTCTGTGGCAGGGATGTGCGAAGGACAGGGCAACAGCATGCGTGCAGCTCCTCAACAAAAATGAGCTCAGCGAGTTGCGGGACTTCTACTGGCAGAACCGACACCATGACCTTTTCAACAGCAGGGACTCTACTGTGGGCTCTCTACCGCAGCTTTGCGAGCCGAACCGAGCCGGGCCCACAGCTGAGGGCGAGCAGGTCGTGACAAGGCGGTTCCGAGGCCTGGAGCGCCAGAGCGGCATCCAGGGAATCTGTTGGCACAGCGCGAAGCTTCACTGGCAGTTGTCCTTTTATGAAGCCGGCAAGCGCAAGAGGTTCAACTTCCCCATCTCCAAGCACATGAAGCTCGGCCTCAGCGAAGCCGAAGCCGTGGAGACCGCCCTCGAGGAGGCCAAGGCTTTCCGCGAGGAGCTCGTGCGCCAAGGCAAGCTGAAGCCGCCGAAGCCCATCACGGAGAAGGCTTCCGGTTCCACGGTGAGGGGCATCAAGTACAACAAGAAGAATGGAACCTTTCGGGTGCAGATCACAGACCCCTCCACCAAGAAGACGGTCCATGGAGGCTGGTTCAAGGTGAAGGAGGAGGCGGAGGCCAGGGCCCGGGACCTGGCCAAGGAGTTGGGGTTGCAGGAGGAGCTGGTGCCCGTGAAGCCGCTCTCGGAGCTCCCACACTTCGAGCCGCTCGGGCCACAGCCAGGGATCAAGTGGAACCGTGGGGAGCTGGCCTGGCATGCGAAGTGCAACGTCGCTAGCAGGTGCAAGAACATGAGATTCCGCCCGAAGGACTTCTCGCCGAAGGAGGTGGATAACGCCTGGAAGCAGGCAGTGGCCTGGCGAAAGCAGCAGGAGAAGGAGAAGGAGCAGGCCGAGCAGTCCCAGAAGCGGAAGCTCTGAGGGCGAGTTCTTCGTTGTGCCGGTCTCCAGCTGCCAAGACTGCATGTTTAAAGTGGCATCGTCGTCTTGGAGTGGGATCCGCTGCACGGCTTCTCGGAGCTCCCCCACTTTGAGCCCCTTGAGCCACAGAACGGCATCAGGTGGACACTCGGCGAGCAGGCCTGGCACGCAACTTGAACTATTGCAGGCCAGCTGAGGCACATGAGGTTTCCGCCCGAAGTACTTCTCGGCGAAGCAGGTGGAGAAGGCCTGGAAGCAGGCGGTGGCCTGGCGCAAGCGGCAGCAAAAGGAGAAAGAGCAGTCTGATCCGTCGAAGAAGCGGCAAGGATGGGCGAGGGCTTTGAGACGGGACTTTCATGACACATGTTCCAAAATTTCGGCCTGTAAAATACGGGCTATGATGCGTAGGACTATTAGACCTTCCCCTTCCGGCCCGGCTCGCAGCTCCAAGCCATGAATACCCAGGCCCAGATCTAGGAACTCCCTAAAGTGCTAATATCAAAGGGAAAAAGGAGGGACCCTTAGTTAAGGGCTCTTAGGGTTCCTTTAAAGGGTTTAGGGTTTAGGGGATAAGGAGCGGACCCTTAATGGGGACCCCTACCCTATAATGGGCTATATAATGAGTATATAATAGCTATATAAAGGGGATATACCTGGGGGACCTTATTAAGGGTCCCTCCGTTTACCCTTGGATAATACAGGGGCCGTAATAATTAGGGTTTTGGGGCCTATTATACTATATTCATAATAAGGAACCCCCAAAATAGTATTGGTAATTACTTAGGCCCCTATATTATAGCCTTTAACGCCCGATTGCATCCATCCGCAAAGCCGCCTTAGAATCCGTAAAACAACGTATGACGGGCCTTGTCAAGTTCTCAAACAAGCCCTAAACGCTAAACCCTGAACCCCGAAGCCGTTCGTTGTCAAAATTATGGTACCCTTTTGGGTGGGATGCCAATCAAAATAAACTTTTTTTCAATCAATTTTTTTTCAATCAAAAAAAAACTTTTTTCCAATCAAAAAACAATTTCCTTTATTACAGGAAGCACGGCAGGAAGGAAGGAAGGAAGGCAGGAGGGAAGGCAGGAAGAAAGGCAGCAAGGAAGGATGGCAGGAGGGAAGGCAGGAAGGAAGGAAGGAAGGAAGGAAGGAAGGAAGGCGGGGAGAAAGGGCGAAGAAGGAAGGAAGGAAGGAAGGACTACTACGACTACTACTGTGACTACTACTACGACTCCTACTACTACTACTACTACTACTACTACTACTACTATTACTAGTACTACTACTACTACTACTACTACGACTACGACTACGACTACTACTACTACTACTACTACTACTACTGCTATTACTACTACTGCTACTACTACTACTACTACTACTACTACTACTACTACTACTACTATTACTACTACTGCTACTACTACTACTACTACTACTACTACTACTACTACTACTACTACTAGTACTACTACCACTCGTACTACTACTACTGCTACTGCTACTACTACTACTACTACTACTACTACTACTACTACAACTACTACTATTACTATTACTATCACTATCACTATCACTATTACTATTACTATTACTATTACTATTACTATTACTATTACTATTACTATTACTATTCGTTTTTTTGATTGGTGAAAAAGTTTTTTTGATTTTGGCTGAAAGTTTTTTTGATTGAACAAAAGTTTTTTTGATGGGTTTCCCATGTCTTTTGGGTGCCCCTAAATATTAGGTGCCGTACTATAATCAGGACCCAGAAAGGGACCCTAATGTTGACAACCACCCATGTATGGAGTTCAACAGGGTTTTGCATGGGTTTGGGGTTTAGGGTTTAGGGTTTGGCTTCAGCGCGATTTTGTGTCTGAAGTTCGATATGCACGAGCCTCAAGAGCCAGGTCAAGCATCACTAAACCGGTGCCAACATCCTGGGAAGGCTTTTCAGAAGTATCCGCCGGAGAAGTTTATCGCCCTCGTGGAGTCTCATGGAATCAAGTGCGCTCCCGAGCAAGACGTAGGGCGGCAGGGTTCAGAGGTTCTGTCCGGGGCCAGCATTGGTTAGGATGCCCAGTAGTACCCTTATTCCCTTTTTGTAGTCCTAGGTTCCTTATAAAGTTACCCAATACCAAAAAGAGAGGCCTTTTTATTCTTAGGTTACTGGGTATCCTAGTTGGTGTAGGCGGGATTTCCACAGCTTCAGCATGTGGGCAATGCTTCAATGTGTTCGTTTGCAGTCCGCATTTTGTATCGGTGGTGACAGCATGAAAGAAAGACTCAATTTGAATCAGCCCGCCAGGGGTTCCAGGGTTTGGCAGTTTAGGTTTGGGGTGCAGGGTGATAGTCCCCGCTTGGAGCTTCATGGGCATAGCTATTTGTGGGGTTCTATACGTCCTTTGTTGTGGGTTCTAGCCATTGTTACCCTACTTATAACCCACTTGCCACTGTCCATGAACCTCCAGGTAGATAGCAGAAAGTCGGGTTTCGATAGTAGGGACAACTGTTGTGGCTTGGGTAAGTCTTCCTCATGCCGGTACTTAGGCCCTTTTGGGATGGTTGGGTCCTTGCCAGCCCCAAGTAAGCCCCGTAAAATACGGCGAGGGGCTGACAGAAAAAGTAGGATCACCGGTTTAAGGTTTAGGGTGCAAGGTTAAGGTTTTAGGGTAGTTTGAGGTTTGGGATGAAGGTTCACGTTGTAAGGCCTAGGGTTTAGGTTAGTTTAAGGTTTAGTGTAAGGTTTAGGGTTTGGGATTTAAGGTGTGTGTGGATGCTGAATGAAGGTATTGTGGTATGATGAACCTAAAAAACCCTAAACCCAAACACCTTAAACTCCCACCCAGGCCTGCTTAGGCCGTACCCACCCTTTTTCTTAGGGTGCCTGGACCCAGTGGACATCCGGCAGTGATAGACACCGTTTCTTGGGATGCACAATGGGTGGAGCCATTGGAGAGTGGTCAGATTCAGCTCTCGATCCTGTGTAACCCTAATGAACCTGTACCTTGAGCCCTTAACCCTACCTTGAAGCCAGTTCAGGTACCACGAGAAGAAGTTGGGCCAGCTGTTTTGCAATCGGTCTGCGAACTCCATCGTGGACATGCTGCAGGAGGCACTACACTGCCGGAGATTTTGTTGGGGTGTGAGGGTTTAGGGTTCAGGGTGAGAGGGCGATCGGTCACAAGCAGGCAGCCGTACAAAGGCACAAAAGGAAGGTCATCCCGCAAACGCGACAACCGTAAATCCAGGGTTCAGGAATTTTTGTGCACTTTCTCCACCAAGCCCCATTCACGCTTCAATGCGACTGCGCAACTGCCTGCACCAACTCTTAAGATCCCACCCTAAACCATAAACCGTAAGCCACGGACCTAAACCCTGTTGCAGCTTCGTAACGCCGTCATTGGATGAGGGCGGGTGGCGTTCCCAGCGTTTGAAGGCCTTGTAGGGTTTTAGAGGTGTAGTATAACATAATATGACATTACATAATAATGTACCGCAAAACATTCCATGGTATGTATGTAATATAAAGCACTTCGCATAGCATAGTTTAGTACAAGTAGAATTTTCATGCAAACCAAACGGATGTAACATAACATAATATGAAATCTAGCAATCTATATATATATATATATATATATATGTATATATATATATATATATATAGCATAAACATAGTAAATGAATTTACACTAATTACATCGCAACACACTGTAATAGAATACAATACAGTATAATCTATTACAGTATAGCGTAATATGACATAATATAAAATTTTGCAATGTAAGGAAACACTGGCATTCGTAGATATACATACATACATACATACATACATACATGCATGCATGCATGCATGCATGCATGCATGCATACTTACATTCATATATATATATATATATATATATATATATATATACGTACATACATACATACATACATGCATACATACATACATACATACATACATACACATATACATGCATGCATACATGCATACATACATGCATACATACATTCATACACACATACACATATACGTATATGCACATATACGCACATGTGCATTAACCTATATGCGTATACACGCTTTTACATCTACAGCTCTTTCGAAATTCAGCTATCAACTAGCGACCTGGGGGCTCTTCATTCACACAGCTAAACCTTATACATCAAGGCAGGTTGACCTAAACCCTAAAGCTCGAACCCCTAAGCCCTAACCCCTGAGCCCCTAAGCCCTAGGCCCTACACCCTAAGCCGCAAAACCCTAAACCTTGAACCCCCAAAGCTTAAACCGCAAACCGTCTACCTTCAACCCTAAACCTTAACCCCACACGTAAAGCTCAGAGCCTAAGCTTTGGCTTGAGGGGTTTACGACTCGTCTCACGAAGGCTTCGTCTGAACCATCGGTGTTTGCGGCTCGCCAGTTGCTCCAGAGCCGTAGATCGCGAGCCTGTCCTCAACATAGAACCTAAACCCTAAACCCTAAAACCCTAAACCCTAAAACCCTATAGTATAGTGGTTAGTACTTTAAAAACAAACCCTAAAACCCTAAACCCTAAACCCTAAAACCCTAAACCCTAAAACCCTAAAGCCCTAAACCCTAAACCCTAAAACCCTAAACCCTAAACCCTAAACCCTAAAACCCTAAAGCCCTAAACCCTAAACCCTCAACTTAGAAGGGCTGACCTCGGTTTAGATGATTGAAAAGTGGAGGGGCAAGAAAAGGCAGAGGTCGGTTTAGGGTTTAGGGGTTTAGGGTTTAGGATTTAGGGTTTAGGGGTTTAGGGGTTTAGGGTTTAGGGTTTAGGGTTTAGGGTTTAGGGGTTTAGGGTTTAGGGTTTAGGGGTTTAGGGTTTAGGGTAGAAGGCCTGACCTAGGTTTAGAGTTTAGGGATGTCGGGTTTAGAGGTTTTTGGGGTTTAGGGTTTAGGTTTTGGTGTTTGCGGTATCCCCGAAAAGCAGACATTGCTAGTCGGGCAGAACTCCTAAAGACTAGGATGCCCGGTAGTACCCTTATTCCCTTTTTGTGGTCCTAGGTTCCTTATAAAGTTACCCAATACGAAAAAGAGAGGCCTTTTTATTCTTAGGTTACTGGGTAACCTAGGCAAGAGCAGTAGAGTCCTAACCCTAAAACCCCTGAACCCTTACGGGATCCTTGATGGGAACTCTTCCAGCAAGGTTTAGGGTTTTGGGTTAAGTTTAGGGTTTTGGGTTAAGTTTAGGGTTTAGGGTTTTGGGTTAAGTTTAGGGTTTAGGGTTTTGGGTTAAGTTTAGGGTTTAAGGTTTCGGTTGTACGGTTTTGGGAAGTCGTTAGCAAGCGAGACGCAGCAGTGAGCAGCAATGCTGCGCGTCTGGCGCATGTCTGGAGACGAGTTGGCAGCCATCCCATTGGAGGAGGGCTTTGGCATTGCAGGGCTTGCTCGCTTAGCATGTAGAGCCCCTATAGAGGCCCCATGAAGACTTCATACAAACCTTCTCACTCTCCTTGCAAGCCGGAGCTAGTTTTGTCGGATTTTGGCCCGAAACCCTGAGCCCTAAGCCCTACTCAAGCCTTATCGCGACAACCGAAGCTTTGAGTTGTCAACCCTAAGCGCCCTAACCCCTGAACCCCAAGCCTAACTCCTAGATCCTTAACCCTCGGACTCGGAGCTGCGGGTGTTCAGGCTCCGGCTTGGGTATGTCTGGGGTTCGGAGTTTTGGGAATTTCTTTAGAGGCCTTCCTGCGTGGGTTCTACCTAGGTGCCATAAACTGATATGGGAGTTTCCCAAAATAGGGATACCTTATTTTGGGGTCCTTATAATAAGGAGCCTGCTATCTAGGGTACTATATGAGGGTCCCTCATTTTCGGAAACTCCCATATCGGCGCTACACCAAGCTCTGATAGAGTTGAGGGTATCACCGTTTCATGGTTCAAGTTTCAGGTCGTCAAGGTTTGGGAGTGCAGGATTTTTGGTTTCAGGTTTTCAGTGTTGGGGTCGGGGCCGCATGCCTGGGGTTTAGGTTCCACGTTTTCACGGTTGGAGGTTTATGGTTAGAGGGCATGGGCCTTCGGGTTTAAGGTTCGTTGGATTTGGCGGTCTTGACGAAGCATGATGGGTTTCTGCTTTGAGTTTGGATGGTCAGCTGTTGGGGGAGGGATGTCATCTTATATACCCCAAACGCTTCTAAACTCCTAAACCCTGAAACCTTAAACCCTAAAGCCCTAAAGCCTAAACCCTAAAGCCCTAAACCCCGAAACCTTAAACCCTAAACTCCTAAACTCCGAACATCAGACCCCCTGGCTTTCGGCTTTTTAATTGAAACCGCCATCAATCACCTTCAGGGGTTTAGGGGTTCGGGGTTTAGGGCTTAGGGTTTGGGGTTTCAGGGTTTAGGGTTTGGGGTTCGGGGTTTAGGGAAAACTCTGGTAACAGGCTCACTTGGTGTCTACCATGTAAGCAGCGGGACTGTCGCAGGAGCTGAGCGACGTGCGATCCCTGAAGAACGAACTTGCGGGCCTGCCCTTCGGCTCCATGTGCAACTGCTTACTTAGAGGATCATGGGACTTAGTAAGTGGGTTATAATTGGGGTTATATGTCCCCTAAGTCCTAAGTGCGGTTATCCTAATTATAGCCTACTTATAACCTTACCTACTAAGTCCCATGAGCCTTTAAGTAAACGATGCAAGGTCTAGGATTTTTGGGTTCGAGGGTGATGTTGCTATTGTTCGATTCTCTAAGCGGCTTGATATTGAAGGTTTAGGGATGTACTGAAGTTATTATGGGCTATGCACCCGCTGAATTTCGGCAGTGTTGTCTCAGAGGGGTAAATGCGGAATATGTCTCACATCGTCGTTGTGGTTGCATCTTGCAGTCCGACATTTCGGCTTACAGCCATGTTCCGGAATTGAACGCCTAAGCCCCACGCCTTCAACTGCTCAGGGGCCTCAAAAGGTAGGATGAAGGTAGGTGGGGTAATCCCCAAATAAGAGTCCTTGTGTAGGGGATCCTTAATCCTACCTACCTTCCTCCCACCTTTTGAGGCCTCCTATACCCTAAACCCTAAACCCTATAGATCCCTTTAAGGGTAGAGCCTAAACCCTAAACCCTATAGATCCCCTTAAGGACCCCTTTTGAGGCCTCCAGACTGCAAGCCGTACGCCCTGAAACTCCGAACCTCTAGGCCCCGAAGCCCTAAAGAGTAAGGCGAGTTCTGAACCCTCAAACCTCCAATTTTTGAGTCCAGAACCCTGAACCCTGAACCCTAAACCCTAAACCCTAAGCCCTAAATACCTTAAACCCTAAACCTTAAACCCTAAACCTTCCTTGAATCCTAAGCCTTCCACTTTGAAACCCGAAGCTAGACTCTAGAGTGGGGCTCTCTGCAAGCTTTTGCGCGGCACCAGAAGTTTATACTTAATCCTACATCCTTGCCGCGAAATGGCAAAGCTTAAGTCTTAAGCCCCAAACGATACACACAAAAAGCTAACCCACAAACCCCTCGTTCAAGGTCTGAGGCTCAGTGTAGGGGCCTTAATCATTAGAATAGGGTTTGGGGGCCCAGTATAACATAGTTATAATAAGGAGCCCCCAAAATAGTGCAGGGAATTATGCCGGCCTACATGAGTGTTCTAGGGCTTAGACGGCTAAGGTTTTGAGTTTTGAGCTCAGCCCGTTAAGCGCTGGCCTCCGAATTGCTGAAACTTGAAAGGGGTTGAGGGCCTAGGGTTTAGGGGTTTAGGCTTAGAGTGTAGGGTTTGGAGGTTTAGGGTTTAGGGGTTTAGGTTTAGGTTTAGGGTTTGGGGGTTTAGGGTTGAGGGGTTTGGGCTTTAGGGCTGCATCTCCGGGAAGGGGGGGGATTGGGGTGTTCCCCAAGCCCACGGCCCCCAAGCCGCCACCAACAACAACCGTAAACTGCGAAAACGAAACCCTAAACCTCCCGATACCAGGCAGCCAGCGTGCTACCTGCGTGTGGTTTTAGCCCCGAGCGGTTGGCGTTCGGGGTTTACAGGGCTCTAGAGTTGCTGATTTCAGCGTCTAGAGCTTGGGGGTTTGGGGTTCAATTGTTTGGATGGTTGTCAAAATTAAGGTCCCTTTTTGGGTACCCTAAATATTAGGTGCCGTAATATATGAATAA